AAAAAAAAAAAAAAAAAAAAAAAAAAGAAAGTACATCTGAGAAGGGGAATAGTGGAGACCAGAGCCTGGGCGGGCACAACAGAGAGTCATGGAAACGAGGCCTTGCGAGAAGCCAGGGTGACCTTTCCTGATTTGGTACCAAACCTCCCAGGGAAGTCCTATTCACAAATCCAGGTCACAAAGACAGTATCATAGGAACTATTGCTTTGACCCTATGGCTGGAAAAGTACGAAGAGCAAAGTCCCCAGTCGACCACCAGGCTTATAATGATGGTTCATTACGCCTTCCATGAGTGTAACCTTTCACGCAGCTTTTGGAAACACTTTCAGGTTTGTTTTGTTTTGTTTTTTTTCATCTCAAGTCACTCCCTCCAGAAGATAGTGGAAATAAATTTGAATAAACAAAACAGGTTTGCTGAAAATAAAACCAGGACTCCTAAAGTGCTCCAGTCAGCCTGCTCTCAGACCGGCCAGTCTAGCAGCACCTGTGGCTGACTGAGCAGCGTCCAGCATGCACCAGGTGAGTTCACTGAGCGCTGGCCGAGGCCAGGTGAGGGAAGGTGTGGAGAGTAGTTCATTTAGAAATATGTGATTAAAACATGTGGCTCGTAGATATATGTAGAAATGCGTTTTCGTAAGTTATTTTAGTAGGGTTATTGGGAGCAGAGATGTCACGGAGCGTAGAGTTGGCCAAGTTGCTGGGTTTGAGGCTGGGCCCAGGCAGAGCTAGGAACTGGGGTCTCAGGGAACAGTTTGGGGGAGGAGGAGGGGGGACCACATTAGGAACGAGCAGTTCTCTCACTGGTCTCTTCCTACAGGTGGTTGCATTCTTGGCAATGGTTCTGGGAACACATACCCTCAGTTTGCGATCTCCGAGGGACTGCCACCACTGGCCTAGCTGCTGTCCCAGCAAAGGGCAAGAATTCCCTGAGGAGTGGATGCAGTGGAACCCCGTGCCTGTGCAACCTCCTGAGCCTACTAGCATTGCCTACCACTCAGAATCGTGCAGGGCCAGTGAAGATGGACCCCTCAGCAGCAGGGCCATTTCTCCCTGGAGATATGAGTAAGTGTGCTGTCCCTCCCGGATGCCCACATGCGCTCCCCATGTGTGCCGTCAGTGCGTGTGAGAGACCAGAGCGTCCCCTCAGCTCTAGCCGTCCTTCCTCTTTCGATCTCAGAGAAAACATAGGTTTAGGAGTTAGATAAGACCTGGAATTGAGTGCTAGCACCAAGTTAGGTGCCAGGACATTGGACCAATTGTTTTGTTTTGTATTTATTTGTGTAACGATGTAAGACCCCACAGACTAATGGGCAGATCAAGTGAAATAATATAAGTAAAGTCTATATATTTATTGGTTCTCTCCCCCTTTTTTCCTTTTTAACCTTATAATGGTTCATGTTTTTCTAACTAAAATGTCAGAAAATAATGTCTGATGCAGGCATGAGGCATCCCAATACCAAGTGGTGCTGCCCTGGGCCATGGAAGGCTTACAAATGGACTAAGATAGTCATCCCTCAACTCTTAGGGCAGTGGGGTGGCTGGGCCCCAGCTGGTTATCTTTGATCATAATGGTGTATATTTGAGTCTTTCAACGAGCATGCCACACAATTATTACAACTCTCTACTATGTTATAATGTGATAAATATTAGGAAGCACCAAATAGGGACAATGAAGCAAAGTATTAAAAAACTAGGGCCTTATGGATGCCAGTGTTTTTCTTCTTCTATCTTGTGTCCTCACTGGGTGTCTGTATTCCCATTCCCCGTAGGTCTAGATCTGGTTTAACCCTGGAGAAGTTCAGTGGGGTAGGGAGGGAGTCAGCTTTATTTTTATTTGTAATTAAAAAAAAATTTTATTTATTCATTCATTTATTTTAATGTGACCAGAGAGAGACACACTGAGAGAGAGAGAGAGAGAGAGAGAGAGAGAAAGCCACTAAGTCTGAGACTCCCACCATGGTCGGCCACATGTCCAGTGCCTTAGCCACAGCGCCACCTGCTGGGCCCCTTTATTTGTAATTTTTGCCAGAGGGTGTGTTTGTGAGAGAGAGAGAGAGAAAGAAAGAGAGAGAGAGAGAGAGAGATCATCTGCAATTGCAATGGGGAATTGGGGAATTGTCATGCTGCAATCCCTTTTTCTCCATTTCTCCATCCTGACAGATTTGGGGTATGTTTGCACATGGGCCTGGCATGTTTTCCAAGCCACTGGGGGTCCAGGACCTGAACCACCATGGTCATGTGGGATCCAGCTGCCTCAACCACCAGGCCATGGAGGAGGGGTCAGCTTTAATTGAGATTAGATTAGGGCGGACACTCAGACCATGCTGTCTGGGTCCTGGACCAAATCTGATGACATGGAAGCTCTTAGGGACGGCTCTTGTGATGGCTGACTCGGCTGTGGGCCAGACCTCTCCTAGGAGGCTATGAACCCCAATAGTCACTTAGCTGGATTCCCTGATTTGTATTTGGTGCAAATACAAACACTACTCCTACTAGCTGCTCCTCAAAGAAAAGTGAGGGGGTCAAATAAATGCGGAAAAGACTGCTCTGGCCACCACCCCTTGGAGCTCCATGATGCCTTAGTACACTGCAGTCTGCGGAAAAGAAATTGTCAAACCCAGAGTTTCCAAAACTCATTTGACCCAGACACCTTTTCTGCCACAGGGCTGGCGCCACCACGCACCCCCCACACACACACACCTTTCCTTCCCATGTGTCATTAGGGACTCCACTTGGGAAGTGCTGCACTAGCCGGACCGGACCGTTTCCCAGGGCTTGTCTCCATGGGGTATGGTCCTATAACCTGGGGCTGTTTCCTGCTAGGCTCCTGAAGTCCAGACCTAGGTGCATCTACTTTCCAGTGGTTTTTGAGTCTCTCTCTCTCTTTTTCTGGTTATGAAATCCTCTCGCTTTTTGGAGTGAGTGCAAACTCTTCCTATGAACTCTTCAGTGTGCTTATCGTGTACGCTGGGACGGTGTCTGGAAAGAGGAGCAGGACATGGTAGACAACGGCTCCTTCTGGGGAGTGAGACTGGTGGGGAAAGACTAAGTTTTCTTTCCATTTTTTAAGAGATATTTTATTTTTGCTATAGGGTGTGTGCTCTCTCTAGAGAGACAGAGAGACAGAAAGTGAAAAATCACCCCCTGTGGGGATGGCTACGCTGCACACAATCCCTTCTCCTCCATTCTCCTCTTGGGATCTTGGGCACATGTGCATACGTGCTCAGCGTCTGAGTCTGGGACTTGAACTGCAGTTGGCCATGAGGGAGACCAGCAATGTAACCATTATCCCATCTACTGGTCCCAAGACTGTTAGTCTTCAGTTTATACTCTTTTATACTTGGATGGCAGAGCAATTTTTACTTTCGCAATAGTAAGAATTTTAAAAAGCCCTAAAAATGTGATAATTATAAGAAATCTCATTCTGGGGCCCAGCGTCTTTATCAGGTGGAAGCAGAGCTGGTGTGGTGGCCGAGGCAGGAGTCTGCTCAGCCTCCCTGCCTCCCTAGCAGACCTGGGGCCAGCTGAAAGCCACTCTTCGTTCCTTAACTTCAGTCACAGTTGGGGGAAATAAATCCCAGAAAGGAAGGGGGTGACTTGTTCCAAGTGACACAGTGGGTGCCAGAACTAAGATGAGAAGCCAGGCCCTCCAGCTGCATCGTTCCGTTCCCGCCTCTGGCTTTCCTACCCCACCTGGCCCTTCCTGCGTCAGGCCCCTCCCTCCAGGACCTGACGAATGCCACCCCCACAGGTTGGACCGGGACTTGAACCGGCTGCCCCAGGACCTGTACCACGCCCGTTGCCCACACACACCTTTCCTTCCCATGTGTCATTAGGGACTCCACTTGGGAAGTGCTGCACTAGCCGGACCGGACCGTTTCCCAGGGCTTGTCTCCATGGGGTATGGTCCTATAACCTGGGGCTGTTTCCTGCTAGGCTCCTGAAGTCCAGACCTAGGTGCATCTACTTTCCAGTGGTTTTTGAGTCTCTCTCTCTCTTTTTCTGGTTATGAAATCCTCTCGCTTTTTGGAGTGAGTGCAAACTCTTCCTATGAACTCTTCAGTGTGCTTATCGTGTACGCTGGGACGGTGTCTGGAAAGAGGAGCAGGACATGGTAGACAACGGCTCCTTCTGGGGAGTGAGACTGGTGGGGAAAGACTAAGTTTTCTTTCCATTTTTTAAGAGATATTTTATTTTTGCTATAGGGTGTGTGCTCTCTCTAGAGAGACAGAGAGACAGAAAGTGAAAAATCACCCCCTGTGGGGATGGCTACGCTGCACACAATCCCTTCTCCTCCATTCTCCTCTTGGGATCTTGGGCACATGTGCATACGTGCTCAGCGTCTGAGTCTGGGACTTGAACTGCAGTTGGCCATGAGGGAGACCAGCAATGTAACCATTATCCCATCTACTGGTCCCAAGACTGTTAGTCTTCAGTTTATACTCTTTTATACTTGGATGGCAGAGCAATTTTTACTTTCGCAATAGTAAGAATTTTAAAAAGCCCTAAAAATGTGATAATTATAAGAAATCTCATTCTGGGGCCCAGCGTCTTTATCAGGTGGAAGCAGAGCTGGTGTGGTGGCCGAGGCAGGAGTCTGCTCAGCCTCCCTGCCTCCCTAGCAGACCTGGGGCCAGCTGAAAGCCACTCTTCGTTCCTTAACTTCAGTCACAGTTGGGGGAAATAAATCCCAGAAAGGAAGGGGGTGACTTGTTCCAAGTGACACAGTGGGTGCCAGAACTAAGATGAGAAGCCAGGCCCTCCAGCTGCATCGTTCCGTTCCCGCCTCTGGCTTTCCTACCCCACCTGGCCCTTCCTGCGTCAGGCCCCTCCCTCCAGGACCTGACGAATGCCACCCCCACAGGTTGGACCGGGACTTGAACCGGCTGCCCCAGGACCTGTACCACGCCCGTTGCCTGTGCCCACATTGTGTCAGCCTGAAGACCGGTTCCCACATGGACCCTCTGGGCAACTCAGAGCTGCTCTACCACAACCAGACTGTCTTCTACCGGCGGCCGTGCCACGGCGAGCGGGACACCCACAAGGGCTACTGCTTGGAACGCAGGCTGTACCGCGTCTCCCTGGCCTGCGTGTGTGTGCGGCCCCGCGTGATGGCCTAGTCGGGACGGCCTGAGGCTGCCCTTGTCGGAAAACTGGAACCAGTGTACAGCCACCTGCCACGAAGGGCCTGGACACCTGAATGTACCTCCAACCACCACCTGGAGGCACGGGATCCTGGGACAGGATGGGGGGTTCTGGGGGGACCCTCACTTTTGCACTTTTAGAAGCACTTTGGAAGGGAGCAGCTGCTGCTCATGGCTGGAGTCCTGGCGTTCCCTCTTGGGAAAGGTCTTCGAAGCTCTGCCCATTTCTGGAGGCCACTCTCCTGTCCCTTCCTCTCTGCCCATCCCCAGCTGCCCGGGCACAGCACAGGCACTTTTTCGATATTTTCCCCTTTGTCCATGGAGAGCCCCCCGCACCCCCACACCCGTGTCACTTGTTCGTCAAATACTGGGAGCGTCTACTTTGCACACATTCTCATGGAGTTGCCAGTCCTCTGATGGAGGAGGAGGCTGTCATTGAACGTGGGGAAATGTACCCAAATAAATATCTGCATTTAAAAATGGCCTGATGTGTCTTTGGCATCCGTGGTGCCTGAATGCCTTGTGGTCCCCCATCCTCTCCTTCCCAAGCCGTCCTCATCCCCACCCTGCTGCCAGCTCTCCCTGCCTCTGAGTCTCCGCAGCTCCTTCTCATCTTCTACCCTCTCCACTCCCTGGCCCACCCCGAATACCAGGGTGGGGGTCAGGCTGAGCTCCTGGCAGGCAGGAGAGACAGAGGCCCATTGAGGCACTGCGGCAGGCACACAGCACCCCCTTGTCCCCCAACAATCCGCCTTTGTCCTTGGGCCCTGGCTGCTGCAGCATGGCCCTGGGGGGTGCCGCCTGGGCAGGGCTCCAACTCCCACCCTCCCTAAAGGAAAAGGGAGAAAGCACAGCTAAGGAAGCGGGCTGGGTTAGGGGAAGGGGCACAAACTTCTTCAGGCTTGGGTCCCTGGGGGACTCCTATCCCGCCCCAGCTTCTCCGCTCACCTCCTAGCTGCTCCTGGGTTCTTTTTGAATCTCCTCCTCCTCCCTCCCTTCTCCCTGTTCCCAGGCAGGGTTGGGCTGAGTAAGGGGAGGGGTTAACCACTCCCTTCCCCGTGTGCTTCCTAGGGGGCCGGTGCCGGCAACCGCAGAGGCACTCTGGGCAGCAGGGTGGAGGCCCATCCGGGCTAGCCTCCCCACTGCCTTCTGCCTTCTCCGGGGGCCCCACGGGCAAACCTCCCCACTTTATTTTCAGGCTTCTCCTAGTGCCTTCCTGCTCCTGCCTGCTTCCCCATCCTGCGATCCTGCGAAGTTTCCGTTTCCCTTTCTGGGCTGGTGACAGTGGGGGGCTGTGCCCCGTGGGCCCCACGGAGATGCTCAGTGCTCGGGATCGCCGGGACCGGTCCCCTGAGGAGGGGGCAGCTGCAGAGCTCCAGGGCTTCGCTGTGGACAAGACCTTCCTCTCCTCTCTCAAAGGCATCCTGCTGGAAACTGAGCTGGTAACAGCTGCCTCCCTGACCTGGTGCCTCTATCGCTCCCATCCCTGGCTCCCTGGCCCAACCCTGAGCTGGGTCCCCCAGGCTCAGTCCCATGGCCTCCCCTCCCAGGCTTTCTGGATACCTCTCCTCCCCCTGCGGCCCGTCTTCATCTACTCAGCCTTCTTGCTTCTCTCTGGAGCCAAGTGAAACAGGCTTTATTTACAGCAGGAAGGGCTGAAGTTAGGACAGTTTTCTCTGGGTCACTGAGCGAGTGCGAGGCACAGGGATGGGACAGGGATAACGCTGCCTTGACTTTCCCTGCACTCTAAGATGGCCACTTCTTGGCATGTCCCAGAAGTCCAGCTAACGAAAAAGGCAGACTTCCTGCAGCCGCACTTTATCTGTTGTCTGCTGCCCATGGACATAGTTGTCAGGAAAGGCTCTCCTCTGGGTTACTTAGCAAGACCGCAGTGCAAAGTTAAGGCCTCCACACGCGTGCCATCCTCTATCCTAGAGCCAAAGGGAGCCAGTCCACCAGGAGCATCTGCCTTCTAAGCCTTCTTTCTTGATATGGACTCCGGGGCTCTGGTCCTTGTCAGAGGGGCTTGGGCAACAAGCAGTGGGAAAGCATTATGGGCAGTAGGTGCCTCCAGGGTGCGGGACCCTCTCGGACACAACTCCACGGGGTTGGTATTCATGGTGCTCTGTGCTCTTGGGGGACGCCGTTACTGTAGGGTAATGCCCTCTGGAGCTGAGTGGCTTGGCCAAACTGCTAGGGTTTCTGGGATATCTGAGCTGGCAGGGGTGGGAGGCTGAAGACTGCCCTCCGTGGGCAAATGCCTGGGAATGGTGACCCGGTCCTGCAGGCCCTGACCTTCATCATCTTCATCTGCTTCACGGCCTCCATCTCTGCCTACATGGCCGCGGCGCTGCTGGAGTTCTTCATCACACTCGCCTTCCTCTTCCTCTACGCCACACAGTACTACCAGCGCTTTGACCGGCTTAACTGGCCCTGTCTGGTGAGGAGCTCTGCCTCCTTCATCTTGTTCTAGTCCCTTCCTTCTCCTCTGAATGCTGAGTTTTCCTGGCCCTCCCAGCTTCCCTCCTTTCCACACCCCAGCTGGGCTTTGTCCCACATGCTGTGACTCCCAGATTTCACAGCTGCAGGGCCACTGGCAACAAGGAGATGCACGTCCCTCAGATCTGCTCTCCTTCTTGCCGAAGGTCCTGCCCGAGCCTTGCCTTGGCCCTTCTGGCTGGCGTGTTCCCAGGCTCCAGCCACCATGCCTGTGAGCTTCTGTCCTAGCTGCTCTGGATCCATCTGCTTCCATGTCCTGGGTAGCAGTCAGAGCCCTCTCTCTCTCTCTCGAAAGTGTTTTGTATTGTGTCCAGGGTCATCCCATGTAGGACTTCCGAGGGCCTGAGGTCAGCCTAGAAAGCTTCAGGGTGGTGCTTCTCTGCCTTCTGTCCCTCTGACCCTGCACCCCGGCCCTGCAGGACTTCCTCCGCTGTGTCAGTGCCATCATCATCTTCCTGGTGGTTTCTTTTGCTGCTGTGACCTCTCGGGATGGAGCCGCCATCGCTGCTTTCGTGAGTCCAGGCCTGCAGGGCTCTCCAGCCCCTCAGGACCTCTGGCTGGTGCTTGCACACTTCCTGTGTCAAAGCTAAAGCCAGGGCCCGGGTTCTGGCTCACACCTCGCCCTGCTTCCCCCTCCTTAATCCAACGGCCCAATAGCTCTGCTGTGCCTCCCTGCTCCTGCTCCCTAGGTGTTTGGCATCATCCTGGTTTCCATCTTTGCCTATGATGCCTTCAAGATCTACCGGACTGAGATGGTGCCCAGGGCCTCCCAGGGTGAGTGCTTGTGCTACCAAGAGAGAGGATGTTTCCCCACCCCCACCCCAACTACCCTCTTCTAACTAATGTGGCCTCCCCTCCTGACTCCTCTTCACAGGGGACCAGCAGTGACTCCGGGGCTCCCTGGCTTCCAGACCAGCCAGCCAAACGGGAGAGTGGAGCCCAGATACGTGGCCTTTGGATTCACTAGCCCTCCCAGCCTATCGCCCCCACCCTGGGCCTGTGAAGATGCCTTGCCTGAAAAGTCACTGGGGACTTCTCTGTGGAGCCTGGTGCCCTGGGATCTGGCTCCCAGTGAGGCTATGGCCAGAGCAGGGGAACTTGTGGAAGTGGGTGGGGGAAGCTGGCCCTAAGGCATTCCCAAATTAAAAGATTCAAATCCTGCTGGTAAGTCTTTTTCTTCACCAGAAACCAGGCAGATCAGGAATGACAAGGAGTGTTCAAGGAAATGCAGCCTAGAGCAGTGACAGTCCCCCTCTGGGACTCGATCAGAACAGAACACAAAACGTCTCCACCACAACTCTGTGTGTGCAAAGTCACTCTGTGGTGTACCTGGTGGCTGGGCACCAGAAGTGCTGTGTTGAAGGCGCAAGCCTTCCTGACGTAGGGCCCCCCCGCCACTTCTGTGCACGCAGGTTAGTGGGCTTGAGGAGAGGCGCTTGTGCGTGTAAAGCTCCCCCTTGTGGTGTGGGAGGACTTGGCCTGCCAGCCTTGCCGGGTTTGTGTGTTGGGTGGTGGGGTGCGGGGTGGGGGGCGGTGCAGCCGGTGGCATCAGAGGAGGGAGAGAGTCCCAAAGCGCTGGTACTGGAAGGCCCTCAGGTAGCAGCTGGCCCAATGCCCTCCCTCATTCCACGGAAAAGGAAACAAGCCTCGTTAGGGGAAGTGACCTCATTTGTGACAGAGCCAGGGCTAGAACCCAGCTCTCCTGACCGCTGAATGGGTGTTCTGGATCCTGTACTGAGTCCCCTTAGCAGAAAACGTGGTCCAGCCTCATCCATAGATGCCCCCACCAGTGGGTCCTCCAAGCTTGCCAGCTCCTCAGCACACATACCCGAGTGTCTCCTGTGTGCAGCAGACCCCATGCTGGGCACCAGGGGTTCAGAGATAACCGATGGGCCTGCTGCAGCAGGAGTCAGCTCTGCAGGACCCTGATGGTCTGGCGCAGCTAGGGCATCCCTGCCCAGCCAGAGCCCAGCCTGGCCAAGTTCAGTGACTGTCCCTGATCTACGCTTGTTTGCTCCTGCCCTGAAATACCGTCCTTCTTCTGGGATGCTTTTTGCAGGTCCCAACCCCCCAGCCCTGCTGGGCCCCTGGATCTGGAACCGTGGTAGTGCCCTGTCTCCTTTGGTGACAAACAATCTTCCCTTGTTCCAACTGTTCCTGCCTCCTGCTTCATGTTCACCTGGGCTCATGTCCTGGCTCCTTGTCTGGCTGGCAGCCTCTCCTGGGCTGCAGTCAGGTGCATTTTGTATTTCTCTGGTCTCTGCTCACAGTTCTCAGGGCTTCATGCACAGTCCATTCTCAAGGCTGGCTGACCAGCTTAGAGTTGGGGTGGGCAAGGAAGGAGGGAGGGAAGAGGCTCAGCCAGGAGAGTGGGGGTGGGGGGAGGGTGCCAGACAGAGGGTTGAGAAGGTGGCTGTGAAGCCCAGTGGGGGCAGGGATCTGCTCTGAGCAGCAGTCCTGCCCCTGAGCATCTACATGGCCTGGGTTAGACTGTCCCTGGGAGGAACCGGGAGAGCAGCAATGTGACTGGTGTGGACCTGCACACGGGCCCACGCTGGTCTGCGTCTGTGTAAGAACTAGAAAGTGAGCAGCGCCCACTGCACTTCAGTTCGGCTCAGCACCCGCTGCCCCCGGTCTCAGGACACCTCCTGGTGGGGCTTTGACCACAGAGGCTGCTCAGATCCCTGGGGATGGCAGGGAAGGGGACTCCCTGTGGGTGACTTCCAAGGGGCTGACTAGAATGGGACCTGGCGCACCCTGACCGCCCCCCATCCCCAGCCAGCTCCAAGCCTCTCTGGCATTAGTGGGATATTCATTTTGGAAAGAATAGGTACTCCCAGATCCCTTGACATCTGCGGCCTCAGACGTGGGGAAGGTGAGAGGTGGCTCCATCTCTGGCACCCAAATTCTCTCTCTCGGCACTCAGACCTGGTGTGCCACTCCAGGGCCATTTTTAAAATTTCCCCTCTCTCCCTCGTGTGGTTGACGGAGTAGAACCAGGACGCCAGGCTGTCCCGCCACAGGCAGGGTGCCTGTTCTCTCCCCCGTGGACACGGGACGCCTCAGCTTCTGTAGCTCTGACACAGGAGATGGGGCCTCCCTCCTCTCAGGCTACCCACCCTTCTAATGCAGGACAGACAGCCAGCAGGAAGGACAGAGGGGCTCCGGCAATGTCTGGCACTCATATTTATTCTAGGTTCTTAGGAGTGAGGTTCTCCAAACAACGTCACTCCTCATCGTGCATTTTTTGCTGAAAAAAAAAAAAAAAAAAGAGTAAGAGGTGTGAGGGGAGCAGCTGGCAAGAGGGAGGAAGGCACGGGGTGGAATCCCTAGGACTTTCAGGGGCCCAAGGGAGCTGCCCTTGCAGGCCGAGGCTAGGACCTCAGGGATCTTGGGGCCCATGTCAGAGGTGCTTGTGGTTTACAGGGTGGGATTAGGGCTTTCTACAGAGGTTCCAGTTTGCAGAGGGCTTCCCCCCACCCCCAGGTTTTTTGCCATAGGGCGTATGTGCTGGCCAGAGAGGGACAGAAAGAGAGAATGAGAGGGAAAGTCAGAAATCATCCCTGTGGGGAATGACCTGGCTACAGTCACCATTCTCTTCCTGGGTCTCTGGGCATGCACGTAGGAATGCACGCCTGGTGTTATTTTCAAGCCACCAGCAGTCTGCCATGTGGGAGACCAGATGGCCCCAGGGGGCTGTTTTGAACATAAGGGTAGATTCTCAGGTTGTGGGTGCTGTGGAACCCTCAGGGTTGTCCAAAATAGGAAGAAGAGTGCTACTCTGAGGGGCACTCACGTCAGGGGCCATGCTGAAGTGGAGGTGACTAGCAAAGCCCCAGGGAGGGACCCACCTTGGCACCGATGTCACGGCTCTTGGCCCGCAGCTTGTTGACCTGAGACTCGGCGATGTCGGCCCGCTCCTCGGCCTCATCCAGCTCGTGCTGCACCTTGCGGAACTTGGACAGGTTGGTGTTGGCCTGCTCCTCCTGTGGGGTGAGGGGACGAGGTGACAGGGGGCCTGGGTTCTCAGCATCCCAACCTAGGGGACCAGTTCCCTGGTGACCCCCTTCCAGGCCAGGACCCCAGCAGGCTTACTCACCGCCTCCTCGGCCTGGCGCTTGTAGGCCTTGACCTTCAGCTGCAGCTTGTCCACCAGGTCCTGCAGTCGCAGCAGGTTCTTCCTGTCCTCCTCCGTCTGGGGGCGGGTGGGTAGAACTGAAGGTGGTACAGCCGCAGGAGGCAGCGCCCTCCTCCTTCACAAAGCTTCCCTTGTCTTCTTTATCCTGAATCTAATATCTTGACTCCGTTCTATGTTCTGACCCTCATCAAACTCTTGAATTCTCCTTCGTCCGGGCGCTGTTAGCCCTTACCCTTCAGCGGCAGCTTGTCCACCAGGTCCTGCAGCCGCAGCAGGTTCTTCTTGTCCTCCTCCGTCTGGGGGCGGGTGGGTGAAAGAAGCCAGTTTAGGGGGAGGAGCAAGTGCAATCACCTTTCCCTCTCCCATTACTCCACTCTTCTGTGTATGGCTCAGCTGTCCCTCCCTCCAGGGCCCAGGTCAGGGACGTGGCAGGAAAGATTCCAGTTCTGACTCTACTTGTAGGTCAAAGGGCAAGGCAAGGTTCTCAGCCAAGGATCCACAAAGCAATGAGGCAGGCAATCCTAAAGCTGGAAGTGGGGAAGGGGCTTAGGGCAAATGGAATTCCCTCATGTGGAGGCACCAGCTCTGTTTCAGGTCCAATCAGGTGGATAAAGCCCCGACCGGAGTAACGCAGGCGCCCACGGCCAGTGTTGCGGAGTGGCCAGAAGCGGAGTAATGAGGAACGCAGGTAGAAGGGGGCATTATAGTCTGAATTATTCTGATCTGTCATAGCCCGATATTCTTATATATTGTTCTGGGCCAGAATTCGGGCACCATGATCACTGGCTGCAATGCCCTCCTTGACCCTTCCCATCTCCACATCAGGGTATGTGCCAGGCCATTAATTTCACTTCTGTCTGCAGTGAATCTGCTGGCTCGCCGTTTGTGTATCCATCTGTCAAATGGATCGACATCCTTATCTCCTCTTTCCTTCCCAGGCACACATTTAAAAAAAATAATCATTTTATTTAACTTTGTTTATTCATTTATTTATTTAAATTTGACCAGGGTGGGGGAGAGAGAAAGAGAGAGAGAAAGTGAGAAGGCAAGCTGCCAGGTCTGGGACTTGAACCATGGTCGGCCATGTGGGTGTCCAGCGCCCTTAACCACCACACCACTGCCGGCCCCTCACCAGGCACACTTTTAAAATAACAGCCAAGGGAAAAAGCTCAGAGCCATGCAGATGGTGGTTCTAGGGCATTCTGGGATTATCTGTCTCTAAGGCCTTTTCGTCATTGTCCCAGAAGTTCCGCGAAGATCTCTGAGTCTTTTCCCATCACCTGACTCGTATCCTGCCTGCGCCTCCCAGTGTCCCCTCCTGCCAAGCAGGGAGAAGGTGAAAATGTTCTTTGGACTGTCCTGCAACCTTCCTGGTAGCACTTGGCATTGTTAAAAATCATGGGGCAAATGCTAAATCTAAGAGGTTCAGGAAGTAAAAGTAGATTTTCCCTTTGTTAGAAACATTCATGAACTCAAACTGACGCCAGAGAATGTGAAAGAAAATGAATCTACAGCCAGTATCTTAAGTAGCAGGCCCAGCAAGGGACCCAGCAGCCAGGGGGTGGGGCTGAAGAAGCATCTCCGATTCCTCCGCACCTGGTAGGTGAGCTCCTTGATGCGCCGCTCGCTCTTCCTCATGCCCTTGACTGACTCCGCGTTGCGCTTCTGCTCTGCCTCCAGCTCGTTCTCCAGCTCCCGCACCCGGGCCTCCAGCTTCTGCAGCTGCTTCTTGCCACCCTTCAGGGCGATCTGCTCGGCCTCGTCCAGCCGGTGCTGCAGGTCCTTGATGGTCTGCTCCATGTTCTTCTTCATGCGCTCCATGTGGGCGCTACTGGCCTGCTCCTTCTTCAGCTCCTCCGCCATCATGGCGGCCTGCACGCGGGAGAGAGGCACAGGTGGCCCGGTCAAGTCCTCCTGCACTCGCTGCCCCGCCCAAGGAGACACTGGCCTGGAGCGGGCGGGCAGAGAGGGGGACTTACGTCTGTGATGGCCTTCTTGGCCTTCTCCTCAGCGTTCCTGCACTCCTGCACCGCCTCCTCCACTTCTGACTGGAGCT